TTTTACTGAAGTATCCAATAACTTTCTCTTTTCCTTCCTGAATCTGCGACAAAACAACTCCCAGTCCTACATTGCTGGCGTCCAAAATAAATTCACCATCCGGAAGAGGATAACTCAGGACTGGTGAGCTTGTCAACTCGTTTTTCAGGATTTTAAAGGCTTCTTGGCATTCGTCGTCCCATTGGAATCGTCTTTCTCCCTCTGTTAAACGTGTCAAAGGCTTAGCAACCTTTGCGAATCCTGGTACGTACCGACGGTAGTAGGTGCATAATCCAAGAAAGCTTCTTAAGTCATGTTTGTTTTTCGGTATTGGCAATTCCCGCACCGTCTTTATCTTCTGTTTATCCACTGCAACTCCTTGACTTGAAACGACATGGCCCAGATACTGCACTTCCCTCTGGAACAAGTGACATTTCTTTGGGCTAAGCTTCAGGCCGGAACTTCTTAAGCGCTGAAAAACTTCCTTCAGGTTCTTCATATGGTCCTCAAATGATTTCCTAACCACAATAATGTCGTCAAGGTACACCAAGCAAGTCTTCCAGGATAGTCCCTTCAAAACCATTTCCATGAGCCTTTCAAAAGTTGCAGGGGAATTACATAGTCCAAACGGCATGACAGTAAACTGCCACAGTCCAGCACCCACGGTAAACGCCGTCTTTTCTCTATTTTCTGGTGCCATTTCCCCCTACCAGTAACCGCTTTTCAAATCCAGAGTCGAAAATATTTGGGATCCAGCCAATGTATCCAGGGTATCATCTATCCTAGGCAGAGGGTAGCTGTCCTTCTTCGTCACGTTGTTCAGCTGACGAAAATCGACGCAAAATCGAGTTGATCCATCCTTTTTCTTAACTAACACCACTGTGGAAGACCATGGGCTGTTGGATGGTTAGATCACCCTTTCCTTCTCCATTTCATGCACAATTTTATCAGCTTCCTCTCGCTTGGCAAGTGGCAGCCTTCTTGCCGACTGTCGAATAGGCTGTGCATCACCGGTGTTAATTTTATGCTGGAAAATTCTTGTCCTACCCTTCTTTCCTTGTCCATCATCAAAGACGTCCTGATAGTTGTGTATCAGCTCTCTTAGCTTTATTCTCTCATTTGGTTTTAAGTCCTTTGAAGAAGTCGACAGAAGATTCATCAATTCATTGCTCACTTTCTTGGCCGGGACTGCAGATTCACGAATGCCTCTAATAATCGAGGAAACCGAAGAACAGTTCCCCAAAACGATTCCTTTCTTCAAGTTCACAGAGTAACCATTAACATTCAATACTCTAACAGGCACTTCTTTTCCGACACGTATTAAAGTCTTCCCTACTACAATTCCTCGACCCACCTCTTTGTCATCAATTCTCGGCTCCAGAAGGTCGGATTTGCAATAACTGGTCTAATTAAATCCACTATCCTACGTACAAAAGGTTTGGAAAACCGAAATCTGGCAAAAAATTCATCATTATTTCACCTTGCAAAATAAGTCGGTCTTACCCGTGGCCTGTGCACACGAAGTTGAATATTATTTAGGAATTCGCCAATTTCTTCATCATCCTCACTAACTACCTCAAACATATCCATTGGTTGATTATAACAGCAGATCACAAAACAAGAAATAAACAAATTAATACACAATAAAGCAGAGAAAAATTAGGTTATGCCAAGTTGAACTTCGTTTAAAGGGCCAACAGTGACTGTTCATCTTTTGATTTAGTTTAAACCAAATTCAAGCTTGAACTTTGATTAAAAAACGGCATATTTTGTTTGAACCAAGTTTAAATGCTGAACCAAGTTTAAACTGTGATTGAAAAACCGGCCCTAAGTGTCGTTTCTAGATAAAAATGTTTAAACAAAATATTTTATGAATTTAATATAAAAATGTGAAAACAAAGGACAGCGGCGAGATGTATCGGCAAGTCAGTCTGGAGACATCTACCGTCTAAAGACGCACAGCTAGGCCACATCTTTAGACGGTAGATGTCTTCAGACTGACTGATCATAGTCAACGTACTCCTTTTTCATAAAATTTTCTGTCAGACATCAGTTATAAAACGCCCTGTATTATATGGTTTTATCAACGTACTTCTTTTTCATAAAAAAATTTGTCAGCCTGGAAAATAGTCAATTCTGAAACCTTTCACATTTTGTTGTTAATAATAATAAAAGTAGTGGATTTTAAAGAAGTAGTGTAAATAGTACAAAACAAATAAAATTAGTAAAAGAAATACTACCTACCAAAAGTAGCAATGGCAACCCTAAAAGTAATTGAACATTGTCGTAAGTGTCATGGAAAATGGTGTGTTTTCATGTAATGTAATGTTTTAAGTGTTTGCATTTGTGTTATGTGGCATTTACCAGGTTGTAATAAAGGGTTCACAAGAGTTAAAGCATGTTTGTGCTCTTGTGTAATGTTTGCTTAATTGATGTCACTTAAGCAACACATTACAACAGCTTTTCTTGATTGTCAGCAAAACTAATTTCTATGATTTCTGGCACTTACAACGTTGTTCCAGCATACAATTTAATTAAACAATGTACTTTTTGATAGGTTTAAATAGACTTCAAATTTTAAGAAATGCTTTGGAAATTCACAAAGATGAGTTGCAATTATCACAACAACAATTGTTAGTGTTAGAAAATTTATTGGATAAAAAAAATAATGTTTCTTTACAAACAATTTATGCAATTACACCTACTTATTGGAGGTTAGTTCAAAAGGCAGAATTAACAAGAATAAGTCAAACTTTGTCGTTAGTTCCAAATTCACATTGGATTGTGATCGAAGATTCAGAAAAAAAAACTGAGTTAGTTGGAAAATTATTAGCAGAGTCAAGATTGCATTACACGCATTTAAATGTAAAAACTACTCCCTTTGAACAATTAAAAGACAAGGTATGTGTATTTTTTTATAATCATATTGATACCTATAGGAAACAAGTGGGCCAATTCCTGAGTCAATTTAATTGACTCAATACATTCGGGTGAAGATTGCCCCCTTATGGCACAATATTGTGATATCAATATTGACAGATTGATTAAATGTAAGATTATTGCCCAAAGTTGGATGTTCTCCTTTGAAAAAACATTGACCATTAATTGATACATACCATTGGCCAATGTTTGCACAATTTAATTGTCCAATTGTGGAGCAATTTTTGAGTTTATTTGATTTATATAATATAAATTTAGGGCATTACAAAAAATATTGTTGAAAGCATGATTTCGTCACTTAAATTCAGTAAGTGCGTGTAAATTATAATTTACCGGCTGAATTAAATAAAAAATTTAAAAATTCAAATCATCATCATCATCTATATATCAGCCAACGTAATATGTCACTGATATACTAATATAATGGGTGATTCATTTAGAGGTAAGTACTTTTTTAAACTGTCAAAAAATATCGGCTTATCTTAATTATCATATGAAGGAACCATTTATTTTTTCAAAATAATTTTTTTTAATTTTGCCTTCTCATTCATGTACACTTTCAAACAATCAATCTTTACAACACTGCTTGAAAAAATACTCTGCAATGCGTTTTCAAAGTCAATGTTTTTTTGTGTAAATCAATGATAAATTTTTCTCCAATACTTTTTTTTTATTTTTTCCCTTGATTTTATGGTTTTTACGTTTTAAATTATTTAATTAAGGAATCCCAGGGACTAACATGCCACAAAAATAGATTTTTAACTAAATTACTGCATTCTATTTATTTAAGTAATTTAATTTTATTATTTTTTTAATATCATTTATTTTATAACGGTTTCAAAAAAAAAATTTAATAAAAAAATCCCAGATATTTAAATATTTTTTGTATTTTTGTTAATCTTCTTGAATTAAAGTCAAAGTTGATGATATTGTAACGTTTTTACCGTTCGTAGTGTAAATTAAAACACGCACTGATTTATTAACGAACTAAACTATTTATTTTATAACTTAATTACGCTTAAAACACTAAGAAACTATAAAACTAACTAAACACTTAATTACCAATTATTTATATATCACTACTGTATAAGAGTCTATTTATTTGCACGTATATTTATTTATTTCGTCGCGAGTACCAAAACTTGACTGACTGCTCCATACTGCGTTCCTTATATATTCAGTGCCTACGTGGCTTATACAGTATTTTTTTTTAATTTTACAAAAAGTTTAGAGGTCGCTACCGCACCTTGAAATTTGGTATATTAAGAAAAAACAAAATTTTTTTTAGTTACTCATACATTTTATTTTAAACAAATTAATACTAATATTTATTTCTATGCATTATTTAAATAAACAAAAAACATTTAAACGAAATAGTTTTTGCATATTATGGAATATAAAATTATTTAAGCAAAGTGGATTTTTTTGAATATGGGTATTTTTTTCTATACTGTTTAACCAATTATAATAGGTATTGTTTTTGTTCTTCATTTATGGTATGTAAATTGTTGTATTCTTCCATCAATGCCACTCCCCACACAGCGATTATTGACAACCTTCATGGAATGAACAAGTTCTTTACTTGATTATCATCTTCTTCCCAAACTTCAACATTTTTCTCCAAAAACGTCGATGAAATTCCTGTGATGCTGAAAAATCTATTGCTGAAAACAAAATCTTCCGGACTTTTGTTTTGAAGAGCATTGTCATCTAACGTTATACGCTTCATAGGAGTCTGATCTATTCCTATGTTTTTCAAGTCACTTCACCAGAGGTGGCCAAGAATTTTTGAAATCCCTTCATTCAAATCCTCATATGATTTCGAGTCTTTTAGCAACTGCAGATCATTTCTAGGTGTACAAGACCCAAAAGGAGCTTCAAACCAGTATCTTAAATAAACTTTTACTGCATGCTTCACGAATCCCTGACTCTTCTTTTTTAGTAAGTTTAATCTGGTCTCTAAATAAATAAATCTTCAACGAGTATATGGCTTTCGCCATCCACCTAGCCCGATGAATACCAGCAGGAGCTCTACAAGGTATTCCCTTATCTGGGATCCCTCCTAAAAATATAATTGCAAGTTACAGGAGCTCCTTGTGATCATCTCGTGGCTGGAACTTTATGAGCTTTGGCACTGCAAGAAGTTGTTCTATGCCCTTACCAGATACGATAATTGGAAGACGATCTACGATTTCATATCCGCTGATATCTATCATTTTTCCATCCCAATGAATGGTAAGGGGCACTTCTGCCTTAAAGTCACTCTTCAAAGCCTCGGCATTTTTCTGTTGAATGTTTATTCGCTGTCGACGAATAGAAGAAATATTAATATTATATGTTGAAGGATCACAGCCTAGGCTTTGGAGGGTAGTCGTCAGGATGACAGTTGCTTTTCGATTAGTTAACTTTGCAACATCAAGACTAACAGCCAAATTATCGTTTAAAAGTATTTTTCTACTCCGCTTCTTCGAAGGCAATTGAGGCGTTGAAGTTTCTTTGGTTGTTGAGGATGTAGGTAAAGAAAAAGTAGATGAATCTCCCTCATCATTACTTGATGAAAAAGACAAGACTTGAAAGGGCTGTTTCTCAGTGATGCAATATCCTTTTGTTCCTTTTGCTCTAGAATTCTTTTCTCGCGATTTTATCTCTTTTCAGCCCATTTTTGCTTTTTTGTGAATGCTATGAACGCTATCTACGCTATCTAAGTTACCAAAATCTTTGTCTTCCTGAATAGAATTCATGTTTAAGGCATCAGCGTGGGCTATGTCAAAAAGGTTTTCCAGTTTCATCTGCCATTCCTCTTCTTTTAGTTTTATGCCTTTCGAACGCTTACACAGATAAAAGTAATCTCTTGATTTAAGAAAATGCCTTTATTTGAAACAGGTTTTCTTGTATGATGTTGTTTACAATAAGAAAATACAATTATTTGGTTGTAAATCATAAGTTTCTTGAAAACAACTTATTGTTGTGATTAATTGTAAAGAAATATTTATTTAGAGCAATTATTAAATTGTTTGAATGTAGGTTGTATGGATTTGTATTTATCAAATGTTAATACAAGCATATAATATCTTATTTTAACAAAATAATAGAATTGATACAATGTATGTCATATAATTAACGAAAATACGTGATTTGTTTGTTTCAAAAATACATTTACTTGCAGCCAATACATATTTATTTGCTTTTATGTCCACGTGACTCGCGGAGCCAATTAGAGCATTTTCCTCCAAAGACAAAGACGCTTGCCCGGCAAGCCTTGCCGGCCTGCACTCGCATCACAGGACAAACCTATATCCTTTTTCTATTGGACAAACTCGCAGAAGTGAAGGAGGTGGTTTATCAATCAACGGTTATGTTTTTGTTTACAGTTAAGTGCTAATGTCTTATATTATGGAAGAATTCTTGAAAGGAAATAATTTAATTCATTTGCTTTCCAGTTTTGTTGGTAAGTAAAAGTGATTTAATTAAAGTTTCGTTTAATTAGGTATTTTGCAAACTACAAAGTTATATATAGTTATATTTTTGGTTTATAAAACATATGTTTTAAGGTTAATTTTATATTGTGTTTTTTATAGATAATGTATTATAATACCTAATTTTTATTATGATTTATACATTGTACATACTTAGTGTTGCAAAAAAAGATATTAGGAGACAAGGTTAAAAAAACAATAACTAAACTAATATAAAAATGAGTGAAAAACAAAAATAATAGATAAAAAAACTACCTAAACCTAGCTTAGAATTAAAAAATAAGCTATTAAAAATTCACATTAACCAATCAAAATCAAAGGAATCGCTTAAGACTAAAGGAAATTTAGAAACTAAACTTGAACAAGCAATACCAAAATCAACGTAAAACCAATTTGATTGTCGCTGGTAACGCATGCGTAGTTCTGTGTGAGTCAGAAATGCGTAAAAATATTAAATTTTGACATGATAAGTTCGAGCATGTACGATTTAATCTCTCACGACTGTCCTCGAATTAAGTGAAATTTAACAATTTTAACTAAACTTTGATATGCGGTAGCGACCAAAGATATTACCCCCAAAGATTGGAAACTCTCCCACCACTGCCCTCTAGAGCTGCAATACCTGGACAATATCTATTTGTAAATTGCAGACATCTGTACAAACGCTATTTGCAAATGTCAATGTCAATCATAACTATTGATGTCGATCATAATTATTAAATTATTAAATACATTTTTGCGCCTAAAAAGTAATAAAACGTGTTAATGGTTGTGAAATGTATTCTTGTTGGGTGCGGAAATTTTACCAATTTGTAAGTATTGACCATTCTGCCAAAAAGACGCATCTCATTATTATTATTATTAAATTATTCTCATAGCAAAAAAGACGCATTTTAACTAGGTATACTATACATACTTTTTTTATTTAGAAAAAAATACATCTTAATGTGCCCTCATTGGCCACTACAGATAATAAATATAAAAATGTACATATAAGTATTTGTATATACACATAAATAAGTAATCTATAAATAAATAACACTTAACCTATTCAGTCTCTTAAATTAATTATATATTCTTTAATCGCTTTTTTGAAATCTTTGGTGTTATGTTCCTTTAATTTCGCCGGCAGTTCATTGTATTTTTTTATTCCCTCATTCATCAGTTGCCTTTGACTACTTTTTGTTTTGGCTCTATCTATTCTTATTTTATCTCTGCTTCTAGTATTGTATTTATGTATTTCTTTTTGTTTGGTTAATTTTATGTCACTGTCCACAATTTCTTTTTTGTTGATCTTATGTATTATTTTTAATGTTTCCAGTGGTTGTAATTCATTAATATTTAAATGCTGTGTTCTTTTATATACTTCTTTTGTTGCTGTATCTTTTTTAATATTATATAGGACCTTAATGATTTTTTTTGTGCTCTTTTTATTTTATTTATTTCTTTTTTATTATCTGTTCCCCAAAAAGGTATCATGTATGTTAAATTGCTTTGCACATATGTGTCGTATAGCATTTTTTTATGTTTTAGTGTTATGTATCTTTGACTCTATATGCAATGTTTATTTTTGACGAAATTTCCTTTTTTAATTTATTAATGTGGGCTGTCCATGTGAGTTTTTTGTCCAATATTATTCCTAGGTATTTGATTTCCTTCACTTTATCTAATATAGTTTCATTTATTTCAATGTTGATGTTGTGTTCTTTCACTCTATTTTCTATATGTATGAGGTAGCATTTATTTTCATTAATTGTCAGTTTGTTTGCGTTTGTCCATTTTTGTATTGTTTTTATGCCTTCTGTTATTTTGTTTTGCACTTCTTGATCTTCTCCCTTATAGAATATTGCTAAGTCATCAGCATAGATCATGTGTCCCATTTAATTTATGCAAGGTTAGGTCGTTTATGGGTCAATCTCATGAAATGTGTTCAAATCGATATAAATTTAAATAAGAAAAAAAAAATCATATTATATAATATTTGAAGCAATTTCGTAAAAAAGCAATTAGACATGTTAAATGGCAAATATGGTCAAACACTTTCCCCAATGTTTTTTCAAAATTTTAAGGATTTAAATCACGAAGGTGATAACTTTTCACGGATGAGAATTACTCCATATTTTTGCGATTTCATGCTAAATTAGTCTATAATTTTGGATTTTAATATTTACACAAATGATAAACATATAATTAAACACCTTTAAAGGGAGTAACAAATAAACATTTTACCATTTATAACAAAACAACTCGAAATAACAAAAATAACTAGTTTATATTCTATTACACTGTGCAACACAAAAAATGAACTGGGCCAAATCTGAAAAAATCGAATCTAGGCAACCCCCAAAACAAATCCTTTAAGGGGTTTTACCAGTTTAGCTCGAATAATGGAGATATATAAGCCACTAGAACTTAAAAAATATGAATTTTATAGAAAAATGCTCGGACATGTCGATTTTTATTTTATATGACGCAATTTTCAGTTGATTTTGAAATTTTTATTTTTTCACAGATTCACCTCCAGCCACCCTACTTTTTTTTTAAAGAAAACCGACCCTTTGTTATACGTTAAATAACAGGTAATGTACTCTCTAAAAATGAATTAGTCAAAAGTAACTAATTTAATAGTTAACCATGGAATACCATGGTATCCCAAAATTTAACAGCCAATTCTTATTTAAAATTTTCTCCTGAATCCGAAGAAGTCGTCAAAAGTTAAAAAAATGGAACCGTTTTTGAGATATAGTCAATTTTCCATTTAATATGGAATTGACTATATCTCAAAAACTGTTCTACTTTTTTAAACTTTGACGGTATTTTCTGATTCAGGGGAAAATTTTACATAAGAATTGGCTGTTAAATTTTGGGATACCATGGTATTCCATGGTTAACCATGGCACAAGTGAAAGAGCAGCCACTATTAACTATTAAATTAGTTACTTTTGACTAATTCATTTACATACATTACCTGTTATTTAAGGTATAACAAAGGGTCGGTTTTCTTTAAAAAAAAAGTGGGGTGGCTGGGGGTGAATCTGTGAAAAAATAAAAATTTCAAAATCAACTGAAAATTGCGTCATATAAAATAAAAATCGACGTGTCCGAGCATTTTTCTATAAAATTCATATATTTTTTAAGTTCTAGGGGCTTTTATATATCTCCATTATTCGAGCTAAACTAGCAAAACCCCTTTAAAGATTAGTTTTGGGGGTTGCATAGATTTGATTTTTCCACATTTCATCCCAATTCAAATTGTAAGGTCAAAATTTGTCGCACAGTGTTATTTAACACTCTTAAAATGGTAAGAAAGGAACGTGTAACCATTAATAATAAAAAAAATCAAGATTCTTATAACACCCAAAATACTTAATTTATGTTACTGAATAAAGACAAATCTGTATTAAAAAATAACTGTTCCCGATCAAGAACTATTACTGGAGGAAGAACAGTTACTACATCAGTCTTGCTTATTAGTGAAATGTCTTCACGACCTAGAAAAAAGAATTTATCAGTACCAGTCTTTTTTTTAACAAATTTAATTAAGTAGTCATTTGGATAATCTTCTAACTCGGTCGATTGGATAACACCAATGTAATGTTTTACCAGCTTTTTTGTACAAAATCTAACCACTACATAGTCGTTGATTTTTGGTTCCAGAATTGTTAAAATGGAATGAGATGATTGAATATCAATTCCGGTTGACATGAAATTGTCTAGATGAATGTCACAGTCAAAATCAGTGGTCCTAGAATGACTTTCTTTTGATGATAAACAGGAATCAGGTTTTCGGTTTAAAAGTCTAGCTAGAAGCAGATTGTCCTCTTCTTTAATAACATTGCCGGAAATGCATTCTTTTTGTGCAGGTTTTGTTAGAACAGTTAGTGCTTCCACTTTTTTTCTAGGCGAATGTATGTTTTTACACAGCTTATTTTTTACTCTTTTCAGTCGCATTCTGTATTTTTCCTTCTTTCTTTTCTCTTTATTCAGTTTTAAACACTTATTTCTCTATTTAGAGCCATTCTATGTTTTCTTCTTCGTAGCCTGCCTTGTCTTTTTCTTCCATCATTTCTTGCTTGAAGTCTTTCGACATATGTTTACTTCTATTCCGCCAATCTTTTCTTTGATGTCGTTTTTTTCTGTCTGTCATTTGTTCAATTGTTTTAATTTTTCCTGCTTCTTTCCTCTGGTAATATCGCTCTCGTTCTTTACGCTTGTCTTCCTCATATGTCACTGGATCTAGTCGCCTAGATTCACGTAGCCTTCTCATTGCTTCGCGCTACCTTCTTTTCTGTTCTTCGTGATTAGCCTTTTTATTTTTATTGCTGGAGCGAACCATATCCTAAAAAATAATGATAATTAATATTTTAATTTAGAGAACTTTTAAAATTTCTCACCTCCGTGAAATAAGGTTCACCTCCGGCTTCACGGATTTGAGATTCACGGAAGTGAGGAATTACGGTATTTTTTTAATAACTTTTTGTAAAAATGCCTTAAATGCATAATTTTTTAAACAAGTCAACTGTCAGTAAAATGTCACCTATTAACACAAAAATTACGTAGTTTCTTTGTTTACTTACCAAAAAATATCAATTCACGGATGTGAGAACAAGAAAGGGTCCACGTGGGTGTACCAAACTAGGTATAATTAAAAAAAAATACGTCTGTTCACCTTAAATCATTAAAACCAACTGAACGGAAGGGGTCGCGACACGCTATAAATTAGTTTTAAAACCCACGCCACAAACTAAAATATTTCGCCATCTATGAGTCGAAAGCTACACCAAAGCATACTTCACGGAGGTGATATTTAGATTTCGGAACAGTATTTAAGGCTAGTAAATTTTATGAATTTTAAAAAGAAAATTCTATTGATATTTTCATTACAAATAATTTTTGTGGACATGTGGGAAAAAATTTTCATAATTTTTAACTTTTGTGGTAGATTTAAAAGAACAGTCACGGAGGTGAGGTTTTCAGATGTTTTTGATAATAAAAAAAATTCAAAAATTTTGAACGCATCGTTTTTAATAGTTATAAATAATCATTGGCTTTTAAAGGGTGAACCTAATATCAAAAGATTGATTTGTCATTTTTTACATCATTTTTTAAACATGTACATAAGATTTTCATCTTTCATGAGAACCACCCTTATACAGGGTGTCCCTAAACTTATGGGCATAAATTTAGGAAAAGATTGAGCAACTCAAAATAAGACGAAAACCCAAATAAATATTTTTCCTAATCACTTATGTTTCCACGATACAGGGTGATAAAGTGTTACTATCATATCAGTTTTTTTAATATAACCTCTACTATGGTAGTCTTGGAAAGATGATATTTTGCGAACAGTTACTTACTACCAAAACACATATTCACACATAATTATAATTGTTTGAGTGAACGCAGTGTCGTAGAAACGGGGGTTGCTTTAAGCTTATTGTCTCATACAAACTTTGAGGTTAGGTTTTTATAACATTTGATGCAATTTTTAGATTGCACAGTTCGGCTACCAATAAAAAGGTGTACCTCTTAAACTTCGATAAAATAAACCGTTTCCGAGATATTCGAGATTACAATAATTGTTAAATCGCATTATTTAATAGGATTAAAAGGTATATGATAACAAATTTAATTTTTTAATTGAAAAAACTAAAAAGAGCATTCCATGAGCCTTAGGACTTTTTGCCCTGACCGTCACATTAAAAAAATAATAGTTTTTTCAATTAAAATTTTTTTATCATATACCTTCTAGTCCTTTAATGCGATATAACAATTATTGAAATCTCGAATATCTCGGAAACGGTTTATTTTATCGAAGTTTGAGAGGTACACCTTTTTAATAGTAGCCAAACTGAGTAATCGAAAAATTGCATCAAATGGTATAAAAACCTAACCTCAAAGTTTGTATGGGGCAATAAGCTTAAGTAACCCCTGTTTCTACGACGCTGTGTTCACTCAAACAATTGTAATTATGTGTGAATATGTGTTTTGGTAGTAAGTGACTGTTCGCAAAATATCACCTTTCCAAGTCTACCATAGTAGAAGTTATATTAATAAAACTGATATGATAAGTAACACTTTATCACCCTGTATCTTTTAAACATACGTAATTAGGAAAAATATTTATTTAGATTTTCGTCTTATTTTGACTTGATTTATCTGCTCCTAAATTTATGCCACTAAGTTTAGGGACACCTTGTATACGCCCAACAAACAACACTGAGGTGAAAAAAGCAATACAAAAACTAAAGCACCAATAACATACCCCTACCAGGGCCGGATTCAGACAATTTGTCGCCCTAGGCCAACAATAATGGCGCCTATAATTACAGCCTATATATTAGTACCTATGGTATTAATATTTATATTATATAACACAATACATGTTAGCCGTCAGGGGTGCAAGGGGGACAAGTATGGTTTTATAAAAAAATTACAATAAAATGAATAAATAAATCATTTATTTTTATATTGAAAAAAAACAATACTAACTGAATTTTTACAATTTTTAAATAACCTAAATCAGAATTTTACCTAGAATAGAATAGAATAGAACCCACAACCCACAGAAATAAAATAAAAATCGAGATAATTAACCCATATATCCCGATATTTTATTTTTGTGGGTTATTTATCTTCTGCAGAAAGGCGTCCAAGTTTAATTGATTAATTTTAATATTCAACCTACCTAAAAAAAATTTAGCCTTCTGCCTGGGCGCCTATTGGCTTCGCGGCGCCCTAGGCCATGGCCTAGGTTGGCCTACAGGTTAATTCAGCACTGCCCCCTACCCTCTTATTCGGTTGCAAAAAGGACTTACAAAGAGTGCGCGTGTACCGCTTATTACATTGTTTATTTCCGTGCATATTAAAAACATTTTAGCTGTGTTAAATTTTATTTAAATTTAATTTTTTGATATGGAGGTTTTAGATGCAAGTATGTGCTATATTTTATAATATTTATTTGGAAAAAATACTAACCACAATGAATAATAACTAAAAGAATTAATCATTGTAATCTGCTATAAAAATATGGTGTTTCGTAGACTTTTAGTTGTGTATCGAGTACTTTTGTTTACATTTTAGAAATGCCTAATAATTGTACAACTGTGACAAGTTTAAATTTTTTGCTTTTTTTGTTATATTGGTTACAAAATCGGTATCGATACCTATAAAACTGATAATCAAAAATTAATCAAAAAATCCATTTTTTAATATAATTTAAATATACTGGGCCGATTTAGATAATTTCTTAGTATAATAAAGCTCCACTCTTCTGATTTGTATGTATTTGCTCAAAATTATTGTACAAGGTGTATAAAAAATTACATATACATGTATAGAGGAAGTATTATTTCAAATCGTTATTTTTTAACCTATTATAACAAACAACCACAAGGTATGTAATTAATGTAATTTTATTTATTAAATCACGTAAATACTAAATAATAATTACCTTAAATAAAAATAAAAAGTCTATGTTTGTGTTTATTTGTGTTTATGCATTTGCAGTGGTCAATAGTTCATTTTCTTTTTATCGCTATCGTGTTTATGTGAGTGACTTTTGTAATCAAAATGGAAAACGAGGAGGCTACAACCAGCAAATCAGGACCTAGTGGTAGTACAGTAGCAATATCACGAAAATAACTTTATGATATCTTCACAAGTTCTGGTCAGAGTAATATTAATGAACAATTCAAGTTAACGAATTATCTTTAAGTACGTACAGGCTGTCGTGAATCTGCTTTAAAGGATTGACATAGCAAAATATTTCAATTCAAGTCTGAATTTAGTTAAAATGTCATACTGTGGAACGTCTTATAACTGTTTAGGAAAATGTTCTATTATCACTACCCAACGTGCAATTGCAAACTACATTTAATAACAAAGTGGGGCTTCGATTGCAGCTCAGGTCACAGTTCCTACACAGGCGTTACATGGATCTGAAGCCAGTGATTCATCTGTATTTATAACGACTATCGTACATCTTCGTTTAGTGTGTGATCTAGACAGCAAGAACTCAAAAATCATTTGGCAGAACCCTTGTCCGTCTTCCACAAGGTACTGCAGACCTTTGAAAATTAATTTTGTTAAGGAATTAAATGAAATTTCTGTAGCAAAGAAAAATCGGGTAGATGCCGAAATACAGCAGTTACAAAACATTGAACTCAACTTACACGGCCTATTTCAGTTACTCACAGCATTGTTTTTGCAATGATCGATAGCAAAGTTTTTAATGCTATTACGGAAACAACATCCACGCAGAAGTGTTACATATATTGAGCTACCTCAATAGATTTTAAAGATATTGACAAAATAATGAAAAGGAAAATATTAACACAAAACTTAAAATTTGGAATATCTGTCCTGCATGGCTGGATACGATTTTTTGAATGTCTTCTTCACCTATCTTATAAACTACCAATTAGAAAGTGGCAAGCTAGAGGTGATAATAAAATAATAGTTGAAGAAACGAAGAAAAGTATTCAAATAAAATTTAGAGAAAAGACTAGATTAATCGCCGACTTTCCTAAACCCGGCTTTGGAAGCTCTAATGACCGCAACACGGCAAGACGTTTTTTTTTCAATCCTGAAGTCTCTTTAGAAATAACCCAATTAGATGTAGAATTAATAAAAAAATGTACATTATACTGATAGCAGTATCAAGTGGGCACTTAATTAACATCGACCTATTCCGCGAATATACACATGATACTGCTAGACATTTTTTAAATTTATATGGTTGGTTTTGTATGCCTTCCACGCTACACAAGTTTTTTATACATGGAGCAGACATAATATCTAGTGCACCGTTGCCCATTAGACAATTAACTGAAGAGGCTCAAGAAGCACGTAACAAATACTTTAAAAATTACCATGAACACTATTCCAGGAAATGCAGCCGGGAAAAATCCAAAGCTAATATTTTTAACTTGTTTTTATTGAGTATTGACAAGCAAAAAAAATAATCTAAAAGAAAAATCATGCCAAAGGAGGCTTTAGACCTCTTAGTTCCTCCCACACTCACTGACTGTCATTGTGATGATGACGATGAGGCTTACGAAGATGAAGACCCATTGCTTTTTGATTTTGACAACTTTGTAGTATGATAAGAGTTTTGATTTAAGGATTTTTTGTTAAAAATGTATCATCAATGTTTTATTTATAATATAAATTTATACACATCAAATATCATTTATAATAGTTATTTACGATATAAGTGGGATAAGAGCTTTATTAACGTACGCATGCGAAATTTGTCGCAAAAGTACGTTAATAAAGCGTTATCACACGTATATTGTACAAATTTTTATCTACGCCTCTAAATGAAAAAATAAACGGTAATTATTTTTGTCTAAGACTTAATTTAGGGTTATTTTGACATTTTGACTTTTTTATTTGATTGGTTAAAAGCAGAGAAAAACGCGTGCGTTAATGAACTTCTTATCTCACTCAAAATGGGTGGGATAAGAAGTTCTTATCTCACTAGCGTAGATAATAGTTATTTACGATATAAGTGGGTGCTACGCACTCGTTGGGCAAATTTCGCATGCGTACGTTAATAAAGCGTTATCACACGTATATTGTACAAATTTTTATCTACGCCTCTAAATGAAAAAATAAACGGTAATTATTTTTGTCTAAGACTTAATTTAGGGTTATTTTGACATTTTGACTTTTTTATTTGATTGGTTAAAAGCAGAAAAAAACGCGTGCGTTAATGAACTTCTTATCTCACTTAAAATATGTTTTATGGTTTTAAAAAACGATTTATAGTATCTGTGATCTGTGATTTGAGTAGATCCTGCCCCAGTGTGAGTTGCCTCGTCCCAAATTTATAATGCTCCTTGTAGAGACATATGAAATCATCCCTTATTACAAGTCCCATTGTTTCGAACTGTGTACGCAAGCAATTCGCCTATATGTCGTGTGGCAAGGATTGCTAATGAGGTGTCTAATTGTAACTTTTTTGGTGTGTCCTTGTGCACTTTTAAACACGAATTAAATCAGATATGATATGTTATTTATATTGTTGTATTTATTTTATTTATGGTTTTTGATTTTTGTTATTACACTTTTTATAAACCTGTAAGCTAATTTAATTATTGTTACTACTATTTTGCGTTAATAAACAATTTAAATTTAAAAAATTATTTGTATTGTAGGACCCAAGATGGAAAAAACATAGAGGCGTTGAACAAAGAAATACTGGATTAAAATGGTTAAGAAACAACTTAAACAGCAATAATAAAGGCGTTGTCTATTTTATGGATGACGATAACACATACAGTATTAAACTTTTTGCAGAGGTATTCTTAACATATAATTATATACAAATTAAACATTTTATTTATAGATTGACAAAGTTAAAAAAGTTGGAGTGTGGCCAGTCGGACTGGTAGGTGGATTAAATGTTGAGACGCCTATATTAGATGAGACTGGTAAATATAGCACTTAATTTATTATTTAAGAAACTAGAAAATGAATATAGTAATGTATATATATATATATATATATATATATATATTAGGGTGTTCCTTATTTAGGGGTCGGAAAAATTTAACAGAGGCGCCCCCCAAATCGGTTCCAAATCATAAAAAAAAAATTCCTGCAAAATTTTAGGTCAATCGGTCAAAGGGAACACGTGCCCCACAGGGTTTTTTAATAAATAATTGAGAAAATTCGGAAGGCTGATATAACTCCGAAACGGTCCATCGTAGAAAAAAAAAGTGTATATAAATTTTATGTGATTTTTTTTAAATAAACAACTTTCGTAATAACAGTCCTGCGTTAAAAAAATTTATTCGGGGTCAAAACGCGATAAAACGCTTTTTTGTGTACTTTAGCGCTACCTACTTTTTGAATTTTCTGTCCTAGAGCATCGACCCAATGACATAAATTGTAGGGGACAATGCACCCTACATTTTTGTTGACAAAATTTTTTTCTTAAACTAACCGATTTTGAAAAAAATTAAATCCAAAACTTTTTGAGTTTTCACCAAAAACACGTTGTGCTCCGAAACTCCGAAACGGTTTATCGTAGGAAAAAAAAGTTAAAATATATTTTGTAGTTTTTTTCAAGCTTATCAACTTTCCTAATGCCTTCGTCACAATAGTGATAATGTTAATGGTAATGTTAATAAAGCATAGACAAATGCGTATATCAACGTAACCACCAACATTACCATCAGTGTGATCGGATACACGCATATTTCTATGCTTTGGGTATTAAGATTAACATTACTATTAACATTAACACTATTGTGAGGTATAATAATAGTGCTGCGTTAAAAAAAAATCGAGTTCAAAAAGCGATACAACGATTTTTTTGGTACTTTGGCCCTACCTACTTCTAAAATTTTTTGTTCTAGAGCATCGACTCAATAACATAAATTGTAGGGACTACATTTTTTGATTAAAAATTTTTTTCTAAATCTTATGGTTTTTGAGAAAAATAAAATGTAAAAAAACAAAAATTGAGTTTTCTCCTTAATTTGCAAGATTTTTTTTTGCGTGAATCATTGTGGCCTTATAAGAAAAGCCTAAACTCAACTGCGTTATCCTACTCCGGATTGGGTGCATTGTCCCCTACAATTTATGTCATTGGGTCGATGCTCTAGGACAGAAAATTCAAAAAGTAGGTAGCGCTAAAGTACACAAAAAAGCGTTTTATCGCGTTTTGACCCCGAATAAATTTTTTTAACGCAGGACTGTTATTCCGAAAGTTGTTTATCTAAAAAAAACACATAAAATTTATATACACTTTTTTTTCCTACGATGGACCGTTTCGGAGTTATATCAGCCTTCCGAATTTTCTCAATTATTTATTAAAAAACCCCTGTGGGGCACGTGTTCCCTTTGACCGATTGACCTAAAATTTTGCAGGAATTTTTTTTTATGATTTGGAACCGATTTGGGGGGCGTCTGTTAAATTTTTTCCGACCCCTAAATAAGGAACACCCTAATATATATATATATAAACAAAGACCGGATTTTAGGCCCTTTAGAACACATAAATAGGCAATAAAAACCTACATTTTAGGCCGTTTTCGGCCGAAAGTGCCTAAAATAGGCCTCAACCGCCAAAATAGTCGATATGAAATAAAAACAACACGATTAAACAACTTTTATTTAGGTCCTATCAATAAAAATAAAACATAAAATACATGTCTCTCTTAATATAAAATACATAATAAAAATAATAACACAAACTCTTGCAAACAATTGCCCGTATGAATAAAGAAAAGGAAAACCTCACTTTAAACCTCACCTAAAATTTAAAGCAAATATTTTGCCAATATATATATATATATATATATATTGGAATAAATAGGCGACGCTGAACAAAACATATAAACAAAAGCACGATACGTTGATTCCAACGGTTGTCAAAGATGGCTTTAGCCATCTATTGTCTGTATAGAAAAACCATTTACCACCTGTAAATTGAGGAGTTATTTAATTATGCCATAGATGGCGACAAATTATATTAATAAAAACTGTCTGAAATTACCATATACATATATGGAAATTACAGTAAATAATAATAAAAAAAGTAAATAATAATTTTCATTTATTATTTTACAAACTTAATATTATCCATTATTTATAATAAATATTTTGATAGCAAAAACACGATTAATTTTTTATTAGGTTTTCACTAGTTTTGTAATTTGTGGTCCTCGTACTCGCCAAAGGCGTCTAGGCGAAATAAGAGCATGAAAGCAGGGTCTAATTAAAAATAATGTACTATTCCGCAATGAAATAGTTATTTGTTTTACAAGTGATGAGAAGCGACTTTTTCATGCGAGTTTTTAAGTTGCCCACGAGGCCGTTAGGCCGAGTGTGCATTAACACGAGCTTGAAGAAAGCTTTTCTCACAAGTATAACACAATGTTTTTTCTGCGACCCTTTTATTTTTTATTATTTTTAAATACAAAACAAAATAACCTAAAAACTTTTTTGATAGCTGAATGTCAAACGATGCTTTCCGGTTATTTTCACACAGACCTGTCACTTTTTACACAGAAATGTCACTTTACATTCGTGTTTTGCCTTGCCAATGAAAAGATTCATTTTCTAAGCAACGATGCCATCATGAAAAGTGACTTTTACATAGTGGTCGTAGAAAAAATATATTTTTACTGAAAAATTTAAAGAGCCCATGTTATGCTCATAAAAATATCCTTTTAGGACAATAAATCAAAATTTCGCCATTTCGCCAACAAAGGGGTATCAAACGCTTTATTTTTTTATGTTTAGGGTTAATTTCAAGGTCCCAAACAAATGTCTAAAATAGAAACAAAAAGGCTTTTGCCTAAAATCCGGTCCTTGTATATAAATATATACATATATATATATATATATATGTGTGTATATATATATATTAGGGTGGTCCTTAGCTAGACTCTATAGTATAGAGGTGAAAGATATACTTTTAATATCGAATTGTTTCACCCCCGTATTTTGTAATGGGGCAAGAGAAAAAAATTACACAAAAATTTGGATAGCTAATTCAACAACTTCCCGTGCCTGTAAGGGGTTTAATTTCGATAAAATCCCCAGTTTTTTAAGTTTTTACCATTTACTCCGCAAAATTCGCATAATTCAAACAATTATACTTTTAATTACAATATTTTCGTCTATTAAAGGTCTGTAAAAATTGCCCCCTGAGATTTTATCCTAGAATGCACCATTTCGTGCAAACTGTGTAATAATAATAATAATATAATAATATATTATATATACATATATAATATATAATAATAATAATAGTGAATATATTGTTTATTACCTCTAAATAGTCGAAATAATAACGATAAATTTACTTTAGTAAAACTTTATGTGTCAGGAATAAAAATATATTTAGGATAAAAGGATAAATAAACAATGCTTCTGTCCCATATTTAATTATTCTTTTTATTTGGGAACCATAAACTTTTTTCTCAGTGTACAAATTCAACGTTTCAGTAACGTGTAACCGTGTTAATCGTTTAATTTAGCACAAAATCCATTTTAGGCCAATTTAAGGACTTAAAAGGTCTAGAATTTTACGAAAAATTGTTTATTACTCGAAATCTACGATAATACACGAAATTATAATATTATATAATATCCTAATAACTATACAGACTATTTCATAATAATGAGTATTTGTTTGCCTTTTACTCTTGTTTTTGGTAATTAGGTTATTGTAATCCTTGATTAGCTTTACGGATCTCTCGGCAATATCATTTACTACCAGTATTTTCTTTAGCATTGTTTTAGCAGTTACAAAGTCAGCGTTTTTCTTCCATTCCTTTGGATCTTTATTAAGAAACATTGTTAAAATTTCAAAACGTTTGAAGAATTTAAACTTAAATCTTGAGATTTCAATATCGTTCCCCCGTTATGTGGTTTGATTGCCATACCGCTTTACACTTTCTTCCTCGTCTTCCTCGTCATTTCCAACCATCGTAATCCCATCGATGACCTGAGATTTTATATTGAAAACAGAAAACATAAATTACTATTCGAGTTAGGTACATTTTTTGTCATCTGAGCCTTAACTTCCCAATTCACATCATCGTCAAAAATCCAAATGCAACAGTTTCGTCAGCCAGGTAACATAATGATTAAGAAAATTTTGGAGAACAATTTTTAAAATTAGCTTATCTGGATAGTCAATGATTTGTTTCAAGAAAATTAGATCTTGATTGGGAGACTTCAGAGTTTCTGGTGCTTGGAACCAAGCTCTGATAATAAATGTATTTACATCTCTTAATCCGTTTTCATATTTTTTGTTTAATTTTAAATATTTTCTTAACAAATACATTTTAATTGAATAAATGCTTTTGCCATCCAAATTGCTCCCGGTAGCCTTAACTATTTAAAGAAGTTTAACTGTTGTGTTTTAAGTTCTTCTAAATTCTTCTTTTATTATGGGTTTTATAAGTCAAATGAACAAACTTAGTGAACATGTTGGTGAGATACTTGCTTACAGGATTATGTGTAAAGACTGTTATGAGTGACACTAATAATTGATATTTAATTAATTATAAAAACTGTAAAATAAATTAAAAAAATAAAAGTTCTGCCGGTGCTGGATACGAACTCAGATCGCTGCGGAGTGTCGCTTGACGTGGCGGGGCGCTTTCCGAGTCAACCCTCCTTGCTTATTAAATATTTCAAGAAGTACAAATTATGTCTACTGACGAAATTACCAACAAACTTTGTAAAAGGTGTCAAAAGGTACCTAGTGCCTTTGTAAAATGTGCGAATCAGTAATGCATCCCAGTTGAGCAAAATTAATAAATATTACTTAAAGGCGTGAAAATCTTAAATGCTAAGGACATTATATGCTGTGAAATGATTGTAAATCCAACTCAAAACATTTCACCAGATAATATGCTCAAAATCTTAGGTGATGATGAACTAGAGGCCAATGCAAAGGCTAACACTGACAAGATTCAATTGGATAGCGCTCCTCTTTTAATTGAGATCTATTATCTTACGGAGATAATAAAACAAAAAGATATTATTATCGAAAACCAACAAGTTACAATTAGTTCGTTGAAAGAGCAGATTTAATTTAATAAACCAATTGTAAAAATGCCAACAAATAAATGTAAACTAAAAGATCCGGTACCAGTGGAAAAACAAATACCTTCCACCAACCTGGAAAATAAAATAAACAATAATAAAACTAAAAAATATAATTCGAACGAGAAAAATATTAAACAGGGTATAACTGATATAAGTGCCTCGAGAGCAACTGTGTCAACAACTAATTAATAAAAATAAAGAATCAGATACAAACACTACAAATGAAAAAAAAATTATGCTAAAGTAGTTAAAAAGAGTACAAAAAAGAAAAAACCAAATACAGGTATAGTTGGAAACTTAGTGAAGAAAGCCTCTAACTATGCTAAAAAAAATCATTCATCTACGTGTCCAGACTACATTCGGATGGAAAGAGTGAAAATTTAGTTGACTTTTTAAAAACAATTTTTGCCGAAGTGGTATGCGAAGAAGTTAAATCCAAATTTCCGGAGTTTTATAAATCTTTTAAAATAACAGTTAATCTGTGTAATTTTTAAGAAAGCTATCGTTCCAGATATGAGGCCTCAAGGAGCATATGTTTCAAGGTTTTTTCATCCAAAGACCCACACAATGTAACTATTTATATCTTACGGAACATTGGAAATCCAAAGGACAAATCATGAGTCATGTGAAACAAGATTTTAACTGGTGTCCAGTTTTTGTAGAATGAAGGGTGAACATAGAGGATCGGTCATATATTGTAGAAAAGGACTAAAGTGTAAAAACAGAGAAGATCTAAATAATTTTTCTGTATGCAAATGTCTGAGCAACTTTTTTTTGTCTGTTGTCTGTCTGTTAGTCTGTCTGTGTCATTTTTTTAATTTTTTAAAATATTTAATAATTAAAAAATTATTTTAGGTACAAGTTTGAAATTTTTATTATTTTATTATGACAACAAGACACAATTTTTAATTTTGTTAGTGTAAGTAAGGTCCAAGTGCACTTTTTATCAATTTTTTCGACGAAATTTCGGGGTTTACGAATGGCCCATTCCAGGTCGACGTAGAAATACCAAATTTGGTAAAAAGGTGTACGAGGACCATTAGTAAAGCTGTATAGTATACGGGCCTGCAACTTTCGAAAAAAAAATTATTTCGATTTTTTTCAGAAAATTTTTGAAATTTTTTGTCTAGAAAACTACGAAAAGTTTAAGCAAAAGAAAATCACGAATAGATTTGCGAAAGATTGTTATTTAACATACTAAAAAATAAAACCATCAAAACAATCTAACATGGCATACTGCTCAATTTATTTTTTGTTGCTACATATTTTAAAAAATGCAGTCAATTTTTAATTAATTTTATTCTACTGTCTAAATTATTATTTTTTGTAATTTTATCTACGCCAGTGAGATAAGAACTTCTTATCCCACTCATTTTGAGTGAGATAAGAAGTTCATTAACGCACGCGTTTTTCTCTGCTTTTAACCAATCAAATAAAAAAGTCAAAATGTCAAAAAATAACCCTAAATTAGGTCTTGGACAAAAATAATTACCGTTTATTTTTTCATTTAGAGGCGTAGATAAAAATTTGTACAATATACGTGTATATATATATATATGTATGGGTTAAAGGACATAATGGTAATGAAGGAAATGAAAAGGCTGATGAACTGGCAAGACAGGGATCGGAAAAGCTGCCAGTGGGCCCTGAACCTGTCCTGCCACTTACGAACTCAACCTTAAAAGTCCAGATAAAAAAACTAACCCATGAAAAACAACTAAGAAGATGGGTTAATCTAAGCTCATGTCGTCAGACCAAAAATATTATCACTAATCCATCTGACAAGCTGGCCAGGTACAGTCTACAGCTATCTCGTCAAAACCTCTCCGACCTTGTCGGAATTATAACGGGACACTGTAGACTAAACAAACATTTTCATACGATAAGAAAAGTAGACAGTCCTCTTTGCAGAGCCTGTAACTGGGGCGAAGAGAATGTAATACACATTATTTGTGAATGTCCTGCTCTTCTCGAATTCAGAAAATCCACTTTAGGAGAAGAATGGGTTGATGCAACCAACATTAGCTCCATCTCTCCAGCCGTCTTTCTAGATTTCTTTCGGAAACTCGGATGGCTGGATTAAAAAATTTGAGCAAACACAAATGGGGAAATGGATCTCGGGGGCAGTACAAAGGGCCAACTGTGGCCTAAGTGCATGTAGCCACAATGTGGCTACCCTCCACCCAACAAATCCAATCCAATCCAATACGTGTGATAACGCTTTATTAACGTACTTTTGCGATTGCCCAACTCGTGCTACGCACTCGTTGGGCAAATTTCGCATGCCTACGTTAATAAAGCTCTTATCCCACTTATATCGTAAATAACTATTACCATACTTTAAGGTAAATTATGTTCTTCTAGATCGATTTGCCAAAAAAAATTATTACAATTTTTTTGATTTATTTTACAACTGTCGACCTATAATAGATGGCGACTTGAAATTTGGCAAAAATGTGTGGGCTTATGGTGCACATGTCCCCATACATTTTTTTTTTCGAAAATTCATCGAATTTTTTTCACTTTTTTGAAAATTCCCGTTTGAAGCAGTTTAATTTTAGCAAGACAATGTATACGCTAAAGAAGTATCGGGTTTTTGCAACGCGCGCGCCATCTGGTGGACTTCGATAGCATTGCGTGAATTTAAGAATTGTCAACAATTCATTTAAAGCACAGATTATACCTCATTTTTAAATAAATAGGTAGTTTTTTCACAAAAGAGAGGAAGTCAGAAGTCGACAAACTTTGTTTAATTGCGCAGCTAAATCGCGCACGTCATTTGTATTTTACGTTGCAAGGAAAACTTTTTTAGTACTCGATTTCGATTGATTATTCCTTATATCATTGATTAAGAAACTTAACGCTTAAATGCTTATGTAGTTACGTTAGTGTGTGCATTTTATCTAAGGGATCATAGTGAATTATTGTGTTTTTAATTGTAAATAAAATTCAAGAACTAAATCGTAGCATTTTCACGTTAATCACTAATAAAATGTGTATTTGTTGTATCTAATAGGTACAATTTATATTTACAAAGACTGTATGCAATTTATTTCTTCATTCAGATTAACACTGTTTATTGGAAAACCGGTAAAAACTCAACCCAGTATTTTCCGGCTTTATTCTCAAAAACACTCGTTTGTAACATAAGCTGATTATTAAAAGTGGTACTTTTGTTACGATGATAACAGCCGAGTGGTGGCGCTACTAGCGATACTTCTTTAGCGTTTATGACATTAAAAAAAATATATTTTTATGACAAATCGTCGGTGAATGCAGTTTTTGCTCACACACGGTCACCCGGATTTTTCGGCTGTTTTGAAAAACGTCAGATTTGACGTTTTGACGCAAAGTTATGCGCGTTAGTGCAAATATACGCGAGCGAGCCCGATTACACAGAGAATTGTATGTTTTTTAAAATTACACCTTCAAACAAACAATATTTTTATATTTGCGGAGTGTCAAAGGTACCTAATTTTTTTTATATATTTTAAACATTAAAAACTAATTTCCACACCCTTAAATTCAGTTGCTGCATATGTATACGCTAAAGAAGTATCGGATTTTCGAAACGCGCGCGCCATCTGGTGGGCTTCGATAGCATTGCGTGAATTTAAGAATTGTCAACAATAAATTTAAAGCACAGATTATACATTATTTTTAAATAAATATGTAGGTAGTTTTTTCACAAAAGAGGGGAAGTCTTACTCGACAAATTTTGTTCAATGGCACAGCTAAATCGCGGACGTTATTTGTGTTTTAAGTTGCAAGGAAAAAATTAAAAAAACTTTTTTAGTACTCGATTTCGATTGATTATTTCTTATATCATTGATTAAGAAACTTAACGCTTAAATGCTTATATAGTTAAGTTAGTGTGTGTATTTTATCTAAGGGATCATGGTGAATTATTGTGTTTTTAATAATTATTGTAAATAAAATTCAAGAACTAAATCGTTGCATTTTCATGTTTTGCCAAAGGATACAATTCGGTAAGTACATTAATTTGTTGGTGCAGAATTATCTAATGATAACTTTACCTAATAAAATTTATATTTAAGTTTGGACATTTTTAAGAAATTAGTAAAAAATAATTTTTGCACAAACATAACCTTAAACCAACCATTTTTAAGGGCATGCAGTTTGATCTACTATTCAGTAGCTCCGACGCTGTCGTAGGGAAATGTGTATAGTTTTTAAGAAATACATTTTCGCCATTAACTGGAATTTAATGGATTTTAAACAATACTTAGTTTTTATTTGCAGAAATGCATTAAAACAAATCAAACAAATTCGATAAAAATAAAACCAATTTATACGACAATGATACGGCAAGCAAACAAATTTAATCCCTACCACAGTGGGCGGGGTTTGGCACTTGTTTTATTTAAGTGTATCTATTCGTTTTAATACACACTGTATATACAGGGTGTTTCTTTTAACTTGAGACAACTCAATATCTCGAGAAATACGCATTTCACGGAAAAATGTCTTAAATAAAAGGTTAATGTGACCAAAGGGGACATTATTTGGTGCTACCGCTAGCCACCCCTTACCCCTCCTTAAGGGTGAAACGGGGGGTAACTTTGGAAAGTCAAATGGACTGACCCGATTTTTTTCACAGAGTTTGGTAGTACATAAAAAAATAAATAACTTTTATTTAAAACTTTTTTCAATTTATCAACAGATGGCGCTGTAATTCAAAATTTAAGAAAAAGGGGTTTCCTTGTAAAATGTATTATTTGAAACGTTTGAAAAATGAAAATTAACATTAAATCACATAGTCGGCTCTGAAAACAATTTATAACAAATGTTCGAAATGTCGTCCTTCCATTTCGACACCAAGTGGAGCACCAGCGTCCCTGGTCGGTAAACGTTTGGTGCGGTACCTTAAGCGAACGATTAATCGGACCCTTCTTTATTGACGGTGCATTAAATGGCGAAAAGTACCGGAATTTTCTAGAAAACGATCTGACGGACCTTTTGGA